TTTAAGAAGAATTATGTTGTATTTCAACAACATTCAATATTCATAATGTTTAATTAACAATATTTAATATCAATTTACAACTTGTGCTTGAAATTTGAAATACAATATTTTATTTATTGTGTTTACATAAACATAATCGTTCTGCTTGTGAAAGCGAATGCATGCGCGAGAGATAAAAGTAGATTTCTACATGCGTTGCTGTACGAACATACAGTTCATCTACAACTGCAACTATTATTTATTTAGACACGTGAATGGATGATGGATTATATATAAGTATGCATTGCGTTTAACTAAAGTGCTACACAGAATGATCAGTTGAACGCTTAGTCTAGTCTATGTGCGTTGCTCAAGGAAAATTGTATGGTTAGCGTTTGCTTACGTATCCATTAAAAAATGAAGAAGTGCGAAATTAATGAAATGAGAAATTTCTTTAAAAGTGTGATTACGGGAAAAATTTATTAGTTACTGAAGTAAAAAAATCTATTAAAATTAAATTTATAAGATTAATTTGATCAAAATGCAATTTAATGATACACATTTAATATCAACTTTCAGTTCATAGAAACTTATGTAAATATGTTTATTTTAAATTTTCTTTTATTTCAAATAATTTAATTTTCTTAATTTTTTCTTGTTACAATGATAATTTTTAATAAATGAATGTAAATACTACAACGACGAAATTGTTGGCCATATGATTGTTTTCTTTTCACAAAAATACATCACTATTCTGCTTATTAAAAACCACGCGCGGAAATTATAAACTTTTCCAAAAACTCGCGTTTGCAAGCAAACAACGCAAGTTATACACAATTTTATCTTGACAGCTCGTGCGCCACGCACAGCGCATAACGCGATCATTGCATTGAGTACTTAAGTCTTTGGGCTCTCAGAAAAGTAGTTAGAAGTTTGCTTATACAAATACATGTGTTATGATATTCCAAGTGTGTTTTCTTTGTTTATTTGCGTCGTAGATTTCAATTATTTACAAATGCTAGACAGATTTGTTTTTTTTTTTTTTTGCTTTACTTAAAACATTATAAATAACCTGTTTTGCTTGTTTTTGTTCTTTTCATCCTGCTTTTAACTGCATTATTGAATATAAGTTTACTGTTTTTTATTTTACAAGTATATATTTTACAAGTATATATTGCTTTGGATAGGCTATGGATACACATATGTAATTCTTGTTGAAAGAACTCTAGTCACAGCTGTGCTGCTATTGCTGTGATTTTAATATTTCTTTTTTTTTTTTTTATCCATACACGCAGAGATTGTCTCATAAAGTAGTAGTGAGATGATGGGGAACGGCGGATACCTTTTTTGTGAGCACATATATATAGTACATTTTTTATTGAACCGATTGACCCTAGCAATTTTTTATCATATTTTCCTGATTTGTCTTATAGTATTTTTGATAAATTCCATCAGCTGCGAAATTATTCTGATATATTGTAAATTAACGTGCATCTATATATGTATATATATAAAATTACGTATAAATAAATAAGTGATTATGAATTTTTTGGTTTGATTGAAGGCATATAATAAACTGGTTTGTTTTGCTGAATTGCCCTAATATATTCATGTGATAGGTATTTCCTATTTAGTTAATCAATAATATTTCAAGATAAGTTTGCGGTCGAGGGATTATTCGAATTTTTAGTAAATTTTGCGTATAATATGCAATTTCATTTGATTTCATTGATTGTTCAATATTTTTGAATGCGTGTGCAAGCTAAACATGGTTCATTAAATTAATTGGAAATGAATATATAAACTTCAACAAAGAAAAAACAAAGCCCAGTTTGACAGAATAAATCAAGTGCTAATCATGCGACTCTCAAAATAAATGTTTCGGTAAGAAACCGGAAGCTTTTACTGTATTTTTTCTAATTTGGTATACAACACCTGCTCGTTTTCATTTCGCTCATTTATTTACATATAAAATGCCATACGGCTTATCATTGTTGATGTATCCTAAAAGGACCGAGAAGATAGCGCAAAATTTTATGGTGTTTTCTGTCTCATTCGTCCATTTATTCTTCATTTAGTGCGGAAATGATAGCCTTCTTATTGTTCTACGTTATGAATAGAAATAATAATGCGAAATTTTAATTGCGTAATATTAAGAAAAAATTCGAAAGTGTTTTTCGTAAAATAAGAGAAGGCGTTGCTTGCTCCAGTCTTCGATGTTAATCAACAATTACGAGATAATTCGATGTAAATGAACAGCATGAAGACAACGAAATCTAACCGTTTTTGCTTCAGCAAAATGTTGTCAACACTGCTTTCCAATCTACGATCGCAGGCTTTATGTGTGCCTTATACTTTTTTTTTTTTTTTTTTAAATAAAAGTAGGAATGTAAAAAGAAAGCCAAAAAAATATAACGTTTAAATAATTTGCTTAATTTACATAGGTATTATTAAGAAATTGTTTCATGTTTTTCATTTTTTGCACGGTAGCTTTTATTTATTATAATATATATATGTTAAATAAGTATGAAAGGTACATTAATTGAGCAAAGGAGAGGAAATTCTTCTCGTTTAAAATATCAACTTTTTTTTTCAGTGTTCTAAAATTTGTCCACTTTCCTAGGCAGTTTAAAACGAGTTACTTATTAATATATTGGATATATGAATGAATATCAATCGAATCTAAAAAAAGCGTTTAAGTTACAATTTTTTAGTTAGCCTTAAAATGTACTCCTTCATTTATTTGCTTTTTGATAAATATTAAACGGTGCCAGGAACTTATGATTGAGCCATGAAATTATATAGAATAACGTTTCTATTAATTTCCGTAAACATCGTCGATGGCTTTCTGTTTCATAGCATTTACGAATATCATTGAGCAAACCCTTTATTATGGAGACTGTGTGCAAGAATAACCACATGGTTGTTTCATTTTTTTTCACCCACTATTTGCAAAAGTAATAATTGAGCGAAACAAGCATTAAAACGGCAGAACTTGTTAGTTAAATATTTAAAAGAAAAATTGAATAATTTAGCAAGAAATATAGACTTAGCGTAAAACAAATTGTAAAACGAAGCAAAAAAGGAAAACAAACAAACCACGAAAGTGGTTTTACTTTATCAAATGTTGAAGTAAAAATAAAGCCCTCAATGGTTATGATGAGATATTGTGAAAATGTTATTAAATTTCCGGACGCGCGATCGTACCTTTAATGATTCAAAATAATAATTTATTAAAATCTTTCGCATAGATTTTAGAAAATCATTCTTTACTTAATCAGTAACTCCATATTTTTTTTACACTTTACAACACTATTTGTTAATTGCAAACAAACAGTTTCAATAACTTAAATGCACGCACTACGCGCATTATAGTTTACAGCAAACCATATGTGGTTTTTGGCGTAAATCTGGTAGTGTGTGTGATTGTTGTTGCAAATCTGGTACCATGTGTTGTCGCTGCTGTAAATGTAATACCGTATGTGATTGCGAGAGACGACCATTCGCAATTGTACTCAATTATTTATTTATTTTTATCGTTCCTAAATTTATAATTTATTCGTCTATTTTTTACATTATATTTGAATGTATACATTTGTACACAATATTTATCAGCTTTAAAAAAATTTAATATTAAGTAAAGTTCCCAAAATGCTCGAAAATATGCTATGCTTTTATTTATTATTTGTACTCCATTATAATGTACTTAATTTAGAAAGGGACTGGGTTTCTCTGCGTATGTCACTTTGGAAATTTAAACAAAAGGCAAAATTGGTTTTTTTTATGTTGTTTTATGGGAAAGTAATAGAGGTAAAAAGCGCTGTTGTTTTGATTTAAGCTTGGATGAATACAATGTGTAAATGTAATTTGATTGATAATCTTAAAATTTTAATAATCTAATATAACTGTCACCACAAAATCCATTATATTCGTTTTAGCGCGTTTTGTACGCAATCTACCTAAAATACAACGGAAGTCATTTCGAAAGATTTATAGAAAATAGTTTTCTTCTTACGTTAGGCTTTAATAATTACAGCAATAGGGGAAAGTAAGGGGGATGTACTATACTATATTTGAAACTATATTGTTTTCTGCAATATTTGCTCAAATTCCAACAGATTAGACCTTTCCGCAAGTAGTCTAGAGAGAGAAGACTCCTTAATAAGCGATATCACTTCCGTTTATCGGTTAAGGACATGATATTAATAAAGAGAAATTATTTTTAATATACTCTTAAAAATAAATAGTCTTTTAATTTTATTAATTTACGTTTACCTGTAAAACAACCGCTATAGAAAATATAACATTCAACTTAAAAAAAAAAAGGAGACTTACTCCTTTATTGAAAATGCGGCATTTCATTAATAAAAACAATGAATTTATTAAACAATTAATTTATTTTTTAATACATTTGAAAAAGTTTTTGTCAAAAATCGAATGTCTTTCATTTAAAATTTATTTTTTTCCTAAATCCACTTAATGTTGTGTAGCTTTTGCTAAAGAAAGAAAAACAGATAAGTGTTAAAAAAAAAAGAAAAAAAAATAAATAAAATTTTAGACCGTATCATGAAACATATATAATTTATATAACAAATTAAAAATAATTATAAAAGAATATATTAAATATTTGTGAAGTTTTTATATATCTATTTATCTATACATTCAGCCAAATATAATTTTAATAAAATATAAGTTAATGTATCTATTTTCTAACACAAATGATAAATTCAATAAAGTTTACCGCTGTGTTGATTGAACATATAAAAAAAAAAAGAAAACTGAGTTTATTATTTATTCCGCACGGCACAATAAAAAAGAAAGACAAATGTTTTATCTGATTTTTTATAAACAGACTATTCACTAATTTTTTTTTTTTTATTTTTTCTTTTCTCTCTTTCATTTGCAGGTTTTCAATAAATAAAAATAATTCATTACTTTAAATATATAAGACTTAAAATAAAAATTTAATTAATATTTGTTTGTTTCTTTTTCTTCCTTTTATTTTTCAACTATTAATCCAGTGTCAGATGGGCCATTTAATGTGCGCTGCTTGTTTTACTCACTTACTGGCGGATGGACGGTTCGTATTGCATCTGTACAACATATGGCGTTTTAAACGAACCTTTCTTTTATTATTATTCTTATCATTGTTTTTACTATTAATTTGTACAGCTTACGTGATCAGATTGCGACTTGTCCGAATTGTCGTGTAGAGATTTCTAAAAGCACAGCTTCGCGTAATTTAGCTGTTGAAAAAGCAGCATCAGAATTGCCAAGTCAATGTCAGGTAAATAAAATTGGAATACAGTTGAAATTGTCATATTTTTATTCAATTCTTTTTTTTTTCTCATATTTTTTCAGTATTGTAATAAAGAGTTTCCCTATAAGTCGCTGGATCGTCATGAACAGCATGAATGCCAAGAACGTCCTACGCACTGTACATATTCCCGTATTGGTTGTCAGTGGCATGGTCCATATCATGAAAGTAAGTAAATACATTTAAAGACATTAGAATAAGATATGAAAACCTCTCTCATTAACTTTATCACGTAATTAGAGACCAGTTTTGTCATATCTCCGTTTTCCATTGCCGAAAATAACTGTAAAATTAATGCGAATCACTCGCAATACGTAACTTTTATTTTTCGCATTCTGTTTTTATATGATGGATATCCCATAATAAGTTCATGACGGTATGTTCACATTCGGAAAATGTAGACATGTAAAATGCAAAAAACTCTCATGCTTTCCCCAGTTTTGAACGATTAAATTTCTGGCAAGTGCGTCTTGAAATTAATTTTAATTGACACGGCAGCTTGAGTACAAGCAATCAAAGTAATCCAAAAAGTTTTCGAAGGTCTAGGCAACAGGAAATGTGCCCCACATAAAGATCATTATAGGCAAGGGCAATGAAAATAAAGTGGCCCCGTGTATTTGGTGTAGAAAGCCCAAGCTAATATTAAAGTCTTTACAAGAATGTGATGGTCACATGACGTAAAGTTATCTTCTTCAAACACATATTCATTGTCGCTCGGATGATTTCGTGGTAGATCTCTACTTTACTTCTCTACAGCTTCTACCGCTAGCAATCCTACATATTGCGATCATTGTGTGGGAGTTTGTAAACTCCATGATATTTTCGGTCTTTGTGTGTCTAAGGTGATTCCAGACCAGTCTCGGATACTAAATCTGATGTGGTTTGTGCTGGTCGTTTTTCTGTTTGTGTTTGCATTTGTTTTGCTTGTAATGTTTACAAATCGAATCGTGATAGTTATGATGATGACGTATACGATGACAGTATCTGTTCACTGCTCAAAGCAAGTGCGAGATGTCGTACATACGCGTCACTTCCCTGCTTACACTTTGTGTAAACACGTCATCACTTATGGCTGAATTTTTCAGAGAATCGCTTGCAAAGATGTGCACAGACACATTAACAAAAAAAAAAAAAAAAAAAAAATTATTTAGTTAATAATTTTTATTCTCGATCAGTGTTATATTCTCAATCGATTTGCTTATATCTGCTTGTGCGTTCCTCGAATTAACACGATCGCAAGAATTAAGATTCTCGTTCGCATGTATCCTTGAATTGAGAAAGAAACGAAAGTTCACAATATATTTTAATACATTTCCAACGTACCTTTAATTATTATTATTAGAAATGGCAATATGATCCTAGAAGCTTCTCCGACACGCCTTAGATAGAGAAGGGTAGCTAGTTTTATTTTGACCTTTAATTTAAAAAAAATAATGAATCAAATTATCGTTATTTTAATTGTAGCATCTGAACATGAGCGCAATTGCTTACACCCAAACAAATCTGGCTATGAGGTTATGGCTGCTTTAGAAACTTTCGATTCCAAAATCAAAGAGGAGAAAAAAATGTTTAGCACACTCATTGACCTGTTGAGTTACGAAAAGATAATATTTAATGGTAAACTAAATAATAAATAAACTGTTATGAGTGATTGCTTTTTAAAAAATGAATTTTTTAGATTTGCAATTGAAACCGTATCGCACTGACGAGTGTCTACATAAACTTTTCTATGAAACGGCAAGATTTTCAGCATTTAATCAACAATGGGTGGTAAAAGCCAGAATTAATAACAATCAAAGGGATCCACATCATTTCAACGAACGAACTATCACTTACCAGGTTTGAATATAAAATTGACATTTTTATTTGTATATCAATCGACCATCGGAACCATTCCAAGTTAAATGCATTTTCTTCTTAACCTTCCTTAATAAGAGTTTAACGAAGCTTTACTTTTTAATAAGACTTTACCTTCTGGCTGCCATATTTCTATCGAAAATTAACGAAACCTTTGAGAGGATGCTTATCTATCTCTTCAAGAACAAGCTTTGATACAATGTACATATATGTAAATAATTATCTTTTTTTTAATTTATTTTTTTTTTCCAACTTTTTTTAATTATATGTTAAACATTTCAACCTCAGAAGGCCCTTTGCTGTTTTTATTTATTACCTTTCAATCATATTTTGCGAATTTTGAATTTATAAAATAAATAAATAAAATAAAAACATTTCTTCGGTTTAACGATTTACGTTGGTTGACGTAAACCCGTTTCTCTCTAACAATTTCGAAAATAGGCAAATGTAGTGAAAATTTTCCATTTTTCAAACAAGACAATTTCGTAAAGCAATTAGGAGCGAAACGAAATCTCGTATAAAAAACGGGAAAAACGTAAATTGATCAGAAATTCCTTCTCTTTTTTTTAATTTGACATGTACATCACATTTCTTGAAAGCGTAGGTATATACTCAAAGTCATCCTGTGTGTTCGATAGGAGATTGCCTTTTTGTCCAAAAATATACATGTTCACAAATGCTATATATATATTTAAGAGGTAACGAAAAAACTACTGATAGAAGTGTTCAAGATATTTGTGGCTATTGCGTTATTCTTCTTGTTTTTCCGACTATGCTTAATTGCTCCTTTCTTTTTTTTTTTTTTTGATAATAGCTCATATTAAAAACGAAAACTAGTACACCGATGAGTATATACTTCTTCGCTCTAAAGGGTCCATTTTCAGATATGAAGGTCTCTACACAAATCTATAAGCACGAATTCACAGAACATGTAAGTAAGACATATAAATAATTAAAAAAAAAAAAAATTAATTGCTGAAACAAGAGACTGTTTTAGAGGACTGTCTGCTTATGGCTGACTGTTTTTGAAATGTATTAAAGTAATCTGCAACTTCCGGTCACAGATTTTTTCGTGATACAGATAAACAGATATAAACAGATATGTTTAAGATATGCAAGCATTGTTTATATTAAATTAATATAAAATTATTTAATGTGGACATGAGGGCGCAGGAACGTGAATACCGAAAATGAATATCTTTTTTATTATCTTGCTTGACAACGGGATGAAAATCCAATTAAATATCCGCCGATTAATATAGATATTAATATAATGATCTTTCAAAATAGGGCATTATATGCTTAGTGGTCAAAGAAGGGGATCGATCCATTCGCTAATCGATTCATGTACCGAATTTCATCAAAAATATTTCAAAAACCTCTAACCTTGTGATTTGAAAACAAAAATACATAGACAGGCATCACACCTCAGACGGACAGTCAAGCTTAGAATCACAAACTTAATATATCCTTTACCACATGTAGTGTAGCATATAATGATTTAGCACACCATATAACGTTCTACAATTTTAAATTTAGATCGTTGGAAGAGGAGTACATTTGCTAGTTTCGTAGAAAGCGCGTTGAGAAGAAAAGCTTTTTTATTAAAAGAGATTGACACGAAACTCGTTTCCATTTTTAAGATTACAGTCATGACACTATTTCAATCGACCGACCAGGGTTAGTCAGACACATACGACTAAGTCGATTGCAGTATTCACACATGTCAAAAATACATATAATCTATGATGGGGCATTCACTATACAGCACAAGCTCTTCACAAATCTGCCAGTTGCCAGTTGCCAGTTGCCAGTTGGTGATGGTTGTGTACAAAATTATCAAAAAAACTTTGTCGCATACACACTTTCAATATTTAATCTCATAGATTAAATTCTCTTAAATATTATTATTGCAGAATACTGAAAGCGATTATTACGTTTTGCCTCTACCCGACAGTAATGAATGCAATCGTCTTCTAGCTAATAAAGGTATTAACTTCCGGTAAGTATTTTATTAATTATTGTAAATAAATTTTTACTTTTCTAATTGAATCTAATCTCTCTACAGTCTTTTAATGTTTTTACTAAATAAATAAATTTCTTCGTAAAATTAAAATTTTACCGTTTCGCAATTTTGAATATTTGAAAAATATTGATCCCTTTACTTCACTTGCCATTAAATTCTGGAGAATCGCGCGCATGCTGACAATTACAATTTAACTTCATTTTATGCGTGTGCAGCTATCACAACATTAAATGGAAGGATTCTGCTTTTATTGAAATATTAAAAAAAAAAAAGGAAATATTGTTTAAAAATTATTTCAATAATAAACTAAAGACAATGAATAATTAATAATTATACTTGTAATAAATAGAACTGGCAATAATAAAATGTTTTTAAATAACATTACAATAAGAGAAATTTTTATGGGTTTTTTTTTTAACATTTAAGTATGGTACAATCCGACAATTTCAATTCTTCCACAAAAACAAAAATTGGGCAGACAAGATTTGCCCTCCTCAGTTAAGGAAGCACTGAAAGAAGAAAAAACGAGGAGAAATAAAAATATAATAATGATTCAAAGAAAGAAAAAAAAAAAAAAAAAAAAAATAGAAAAAGCAAGAAGAATAAAGATTATAGAAATTGATATGAAGAATTTACTAAAAATAGTTGTAGACAAAATATAAGTAAACAAAGAAATAACTAATTAATAACTATAGCGTATAAATATCTACCGACATAAAGATATGACTTGTTGCGATTTTAATGAATAAGAATAATTTATGTGTAATATTTCTGTTTAATATAACCATTTCTTTATATATTTGTGTACACACATACACATTTAGATATGGTATCCGTTAAAGTTAATCTCTAACTGAAACCTTAACTTACCTAATTGGTTAAATTTTATATGTATTTTTAATGAAATTTATAATGGAATGAGTTTCTTTCAATTTGATTTAAAATATTTACGTAGCTCGGTATGTATGTATGTCCAAATATGAACAAACACATATTAAAATAACGTGCAAACATACATTCATAAGATCGTTGATATTTTTATTGTTTAATTGTGTTAATAGAGGATTTCCAACTAAAATATTATTATTGCTATTAAGAAAATCATTAAAGACGATAACATTTTTGTATCTAAAAATATATGAAATTTTCTAATCATAAAATAACGTAAATAGATCTCAATAATTATTTGAATTAAAGTATGCACATATATTGCATTTAAGCTAAATACAAAACAAGAAATACTAACACTTGAAAAAATAAAATTAACCCTAAGCAGTGATGAGCCTTTTCTTGCGGATAGAATTTTTCGCTATATGTATTCGTTCGTAATGAAAATATTCTATTTATTATAAAAGGATAAGAAGCATCGAATAGTTAAATATTTCTCTCTCTCTCTCTCTCTCTCTCTCTCTTTCTTTCTTTCTTTCTCTCTTTTTTCCTCTTCTTCTTTTTTATTCTCTCTCGCTCTTTTTTATACCTAAAGTGTAAAAAGAGATGTGTATGGGAATTAAACTCACTGTAAGACGCAACACCAAACATGTTATTGTTTAAGTCTCTCATTAAGTCATATTAAGGAAACAGATTCAAAATATATGTGAGAATGGATGTCGCCAAACAAGCGTATCGTTTCACTACATTTTCTACATATTATATATAACTTATTTTCTTTATATAAAAATATATGCGTACGAACATATATACATATATACATACATATATGCATACATACATACATACATAACGTATTATTTATAAATCTTTCGTCTAAACACAAAAAAAAAAAAAAATAAGAAAAAAAATTGTAGCCACGTTGAAGATGCATTGGAAAATCTTAAATTATTGCCATTAAATATGTTTTTTGCAGATTTTTATTTTCACTAATAATATATGCATACATTTAACATTTGTACAACTAGATGTTTATGTATATAGCTGGAATTAAACGAATTCTCTAATAGCAAAATAAATTAAGTATTAAGCTAATTAAATATAAATAATGATTTTTAAATTTTGTTTTTAATATAATTGCACTTTTCATTATTTTAATAGATTTTATTTTTAAAAGGACTTTAATGATATATATAATAAACTTGATATTATTATATAAGAAGCAAGTCTTTTGTTTCACTTTTAAAGCTTTTTACAAGGATGCATTAGCATATTTTGAAACAAAAAAAATAATAATAAATGAAAATAATTTTTTGCTTGTGTTATTTCAAATCGAGCACGATTTCACTTTCAGTTTCGCCTTGACATTTTCATTTATTCGATTTGCCACCGACAAAGGATGTTATTTTAATCCCTTAGATCCTTACAATTATCCTTTGTAAATAAAAATTGCATATATACGATTGTTTAATTTCCATAATAATTTTCCATTTAATCTAAGAGAGCAACTATAATCGAGCAATCGGACAGAATCGTTTGCTACTTTTTTAATCCCCAATTCAAATGTGTACAGTAAATACTGCAAGCGAAGAAGTGAAGTTAATAATATTATTTTATTTAATGCTATAAGTATAATTGTGACATGTGGTTTGTATTATTTTTGAAATTTAAATTTTTTGAATGTTCATTGAGGATTGAGGATTAAGCGCGCAATGTTAAGAACAGTCCTCCAGTTCAGACCTGCTTACTTAACTGCTTAAACGCTGCTTAATACTACTACGCTAGTTAAATAATTTTTTTTTATACTGCACGAGAATTGCTTAATGACCCCACTGTTCTAAACTAACTTACTTACTTACTTGTCGCGTATGTTAGAAATGCTTAGTGTTATGTTTATTACTCTATTATGTTGCAATGTATTTGCTAATTTGTAGGTTTGGATTTTGTCGTACGATTACTGTGTAATATTGTGTGAAAGGGATGTTGGATGTGTTTATAATAGCCAAATTTCGGGTGAGTGTGGGAATATCGTGTGGCGGTTTATTAAATTTCGCTGGTGTTGGATTTTGTTGTGGGTATAATGGGTGTTAGGGCGAATAAGGTGCAAAGGTATTAGGCAAAGTTTGCAACAAATCGGGAATGATCGCCATCGTAACTCTTAATCTCATGTTCGTGTCATTGTTCGCGGGTTCAAATTTCAAGTGCGACCTGATCTCTGATTCTCCGATCGTAGATATAGTGGTTGCTCAGTTGATAGAGATTAAGGATTGAGCACACACCCACTACTCTGCACCCACAACCTTCCTATCACTTTTTTTCCCCCACTTCTTTTTGATCGTCACCATGTTACACGAATGGAGGACATCTCCCTATATGAATGAGGATTACCCAAATAAGAACAATAATTCACACGACACTATTCTTCATATATGTGTACTTACATATGTATAGACGTATTACTTCTTTTTCTATGGATTACATAGAAATTGTATCCGGCTAATGGCTTTAGCAAAATTTTACTACAACAGAATGTAAAGCGAAAATTCTGCTTTCTTCTATATTACGTGAATTGAACTGTTTTATCTAACGTCAAAATAATAAGCAAGATTGTCAACTATTAAGTTCTTTACATTGATACATAATCGCTCTTTGAATGCCTGATGCCTGATGAATTTAAATTTAACATATGAAAGAATAATTATCATTCGCGTACTTATACATACAAAAGTATCTTTAGCGTAATAACTCAGATCCCGACAAATCAAATTTAGAAAACTTGTTATTTAAAAATAGCAATTCTTCAGTTCAAATTCAGACAACTATATGTTGGTGATCCTTTATTAAATCAAATAAAAACAATAAATTTCAAATCGTTAACTATATGAAAGAATTTCTGTTGGCTGGGATAGCGCTTTTATTTTATTTATTACGATTTCACATGTTGGAAGTGCTGCTGTTGTAAAATCGATGGATGCATGGCGTGGAAACGAGTGTACTAGGGCCCCTCTAACATAGTTGACTTATTCCGTGTGGTGCGCATCACTTGAATTATACAAATATATTATTCGTTCACAGCCCAAAGCGCGTAACTTACGTCTTATGCTTAAAATAACATGAGAATAATATTTAATGCAGTCGAATAATCTGCCACCATTGGGGATCCGGTGCGAAGACATTGACATTTTATAAAAAGTTCATCACTGATACTCACAGAGTATAATCCTACTGTACCGTACTATTCTGCTGTACATGTACGCATTTAAAAACTGTATAATATTGTTGAGCGATACTTATCTCGATTGTGATTCCAACTCTACAACGGTTTTCATGCACACACATATGTATTTACATAAGAATGCAAGTTCTGCGATCACACGCAATTCATTTTCGAGTTTCGAGTTTTGTTGCTGTGCGCATATACAATAGGTACGGGCAATGATCTCTCATATGTTTCACATCAGGCGTGAGCTGATTAGTTAATTTGGTCTTTCAGAATTGGTAACGCCTGTTTAGAGTTGCATTTAAAGAAGAAAGCAGCTGTAAATAGAAATGTATATTCTAAACTGAATTGTTTACTTACAAACAGCTGAACGAAAAGAATAATCTTAAATTTGTGAAAGGTAAGTAAATCAATACATTTTTTTTTGCTTGTTACTTGAATTGTCTACTTAATAGTCTTAATTCGTCAGAGCTTGTAGTCCACAACTTTGAACCATTAATCTTTTCATACGTCATCATATACTGTCGCTATTATTGATAAAGTGCAGAAGATCAACAAATAATGCTAGAACAACAACTGTGGTCTCTAGCGAAATAATGACCTGCAAGCCGAATTTTTCCAACACACCGAGCAAGTTGGTGCGAACATTGCTGGGTTTCGGAAAAAGATGTCCGGCGTCCAATTGGCTATGTAAAAAGATTTGAACGATTTGAAGGCCACATTGGTTAAAATGGAGCATCAATATAATGTGCAGGTTCGCCGCTTGAACAAATCTGATGTTATAGCCAGTGGCTTGCCAGTTGGCATTAGAAATTTGAGAGATCTCGTATTGAAAATTGCTGAGTTGTATAAAAGTAAGGTGACATGCGGATTTACAGCGCTGTTGCTATTTAGCCAATAGGAGGCAGGCGTTAATTAAGTGGTGGTAGATGGGAGGTGGTTGGTTTTGAATGAGTCCTGATGGGGTGGTCATATTTCGTGAAATTCCCGAGATATAGATTGTACTATTGGGGCAGGTCCACGAGGGGAACTGTGGGCGTAGTTTTATATATTTGAAATAGACTTGGATTTTCCGTTGTGTATGTGGATTTGGTTGATGGTGTGAGGGCTCATTTCTCCGCTTTTGACAACAGTTTTGAAATAGATCAGTACCAATATGATATG